CTGCATTCTTGCTGCCGCCATTTATTCTACTTAAAAATAGCTCATAATACTCCTATTAATTGCAATTATTTTGTCTTCCTAGATTACTTTATAACATCGAAGACTTGAATCAAGGCACTTGCTATATTTCTTTCGCAGTTTCGTATTAGTGTGTATGTGTAAGTAAATTACACGTTTTTATAAAATACATAATACTTTAAACGTCTATATGTAACGCTTTTTTATTCTTAATATAACAATTATTATAAAATGTACTCCAAAAGATATTGAAAATCGTTGAAAATTTTTCACATACGAATCTCACGTGTAAAGATTTATAGAAAATATCGCCGCTCTCGTTATATTATCAATTTTGGAAGCCCTGTTCCTGGTGTCACGCACACCATGTACGCACGCACACACACATACGTATTAAGTCATTAATTTTTTAATGAAACTATGCATTTATTCGATTAATCATACTTTTGGCTGTAATTCGGTGAACGTGTATTGTCTATATTACAAAATAAACATTTTTCAAAGACTTGCTGTATTCATGAGGAGGGGAAGTATTATAAAAAGGCGAGTTTTTTCATGAGGGTAATTAACGTGTCGTCAACCGAGCATGTTTTTCGGTTTTTGGACACATCCAGTTCTTTTCTTGGGCACTAATGACGTGTGTTTTCGTGTGATTTCCTTTCCTGATTGTCATTACGTATCTTATATTATTTTTTAACAGCCTTTATTTTATTATTATACCAATTTCTCTTAGCAAAGTTCAGATAGCTTTTAGAAGTTTCACACTAATGTTCTTCAATCAGTCCTTAATGAGAATCTAATCTTTCTAGGTCCACGGTAAAAAAAAACGCGTATATCATTACAGGCTAAACTAAATCACGGTTTCGGTATACGATAGATTAATATTTACTACATAAACGCTCGAATGAAAAGATTAATTCTAACGATCCCAAACTCGACAATCTCAATTATCCAAATTAAAAAAAGAGAGACAGAATATCGCCAAGTTTTACTCGTGAATAGAAAATTAGTGTAATCTTTGTAGAAAATAATACTAAGATTTAACACTTATAGAAAAAAACGTTTCACTAGTATTATAACCGTTCTATTCTTAACACCTCCATATTCTTGACTTCTTAAGGAACACCGACACGTATGCGTACGTGAAGTTTTTAATTAGGTTTAGAATTTCGAAATAATATTTGCCACAGAATCTGTCGAAGAAAATATAGGAATCCCGTTATATGACGGCAGTTGTAATATTTGTCACTTGAAATCGCATGGTACTAAAAAATATCTTTTACTTTTTACCGTCAAAACTTCGTCTCCGCTTTCGTATTTTTAACATATTCCCCTGTTCTTTCGCTACTTTTACATTCGTCATGTAATTACATAGTTACATCGGAACGCAGCCACAGAGTAAGAAAATAAATGACAAATAACAAGTACCGTGCGTGTATACTATTAAGGTAAATGTCGAAACACTTAAGACTTATGTCTTCTGGACACCTTTATCATTTTAGTTTGTAAATAAGTATAACACGAATTAAAATCAAAGATAAAAATGTAATATAAGAAAAATATTTTTATCTTTGATTCTTTGGCTTTAATTCAACTTATAACTTATTTAAGGACTAAAATAATAAAAATGTCCAGACATAGGTACGTAATCAGGCATTGGTACATTTACCTTACTTGTCGCGATCAACATTTGAAGGATACAAGGAAAAAACGATCAATGTCCATCCGGAGTAATTTCGAGAAAAACGTTTCAAGTCCTAATACATCTCGAATATCTTAACTATTGAAAAAATTAGTACAAAATTTAGTGAATATCGGAACGCAGTATTTACTTAATGTTTATATTGGAATTATGATGAACTCTAACAGATTCTTCACTACAAGCGTGTTGATTATGATCATTTTTTTGTACCCCAACATGGTACATCTTTCGGCTTTATTTGAAACTGTTCTTTATCAAAATAGATAAGAATTATGAAAGTTCTTTGAAACTGATGCTACAAGATAAAATAATCAGATCAATTTTAACAAAAAGTAAACTTTTATCGTTTTTCCCCTGTACCCTTCATTTTCATTCCATGTATATACTATTAAAATAAGAACGGGCTCGAGGAACAGGGTTAAGCATAGAGAGATTGGTCCCGACGAGTTAAGAATAGGTGAAGAGAGGAGGGGGGAGTTTGGTTGTATTGCTAAAGATAAAAGGAATGACGTTTGGGAATTCATCGAAGCACCAATTGTGTATACGCAAAGGCTGTCATCTTTGAGCAATCTTCTACCGAAATACTTTTGTCAAGTATTCAATCTCGGATTCTTCCCTTCTTTCTTCAATTCCTCGTAAATTCTGATTCAGCCTATTACGAGATTTGTACAGATCTCTATAGTCTTTTCTCCTCTCCAGTGATTATCTTGTTGTTGTTGTTGTGAGCGCCACTCCGTCATTATTTCTCGTTAACGGACGTGGTAAAGGCAGTCAGGTTGTTATTGTTGGATGTAACCTTCTGTTTGCCAGTCGCGCTAGGCTTCTTCTCGTCGAAATGCCGTTTCCGATGCACCTTCATGTTGTCGCGACGATTGAACTTTTTACCGCATTCCGGGCACGCGTGCGTCTTTTCCCCATGTACATGACGATGAGCGGCCAAATGACTCGCCTGTGCGAAACTCGCGCCGCACTCTTGGCACACGTGTTTACGCAAACCCTCGTGCTTCAACAGGTGCTCGTTTAGAAACGCTTTAGACGCATAACGGTTGTTGCAAACGTTGCACACAAACGGCTTGGGATTGGAGTGCTGCAGCACGTGCGCCTTGTATTTGGAAGCGACTTTGAAGGTCTTGCCACATGTCTCGCACGTGTACGTGGTCGCGTGGCGAGTTTTGATATGCTCGTTCAGCACCGACAGACTCGAGTAAAGATTATAACAAAAGCGACAGCGGAAATTGCGCCGTTTTTTCATATGAACACTCGCGATATGGCCGAGCAATCTCGTGCGAAATGGGAAGACTTTGCCGCAATATTCGCAGGCCAGATTTTGCGGCGGCAGATGCGACTTCATGTGGATCTGCAACGAAACCTTGTGGTGATAACTCTGCCCACAGTCCGCGCAACTGTACGGCCGCACACCTTTGTGAACATTGTCATGTTCGGCCAGGTAGAATTTAGATTTAAATCGTTTAGGACACTTGGGACATTGTATGGGCCTAGGATTGGTATGCGAGCATCGGATGTGCTTCATCACGTCAGACTTGCAAACAAACTTGGCGTTGCAGACAACGCACGTATACTGCTTGATACCGAGATGCGTTTTCACGTGAACCGTACATTTGTCTCGGCGCTCGTAGAACTTTCGGCAGAGCTTACACGCGTAACCGTTTTGCGTTTCATTTACAACGTGCTCCACGTTATCGTCCACCTTAATCTCCTCGCCGTCGATCTTAAAGAGGTCCTCTGGGTTCTGCGTGGCTTCTAACCGTTGCTCCAACTCCGCTAAATTTTTCAACTTTGCCGCCGCGCTGCTGTTCTTCGGCGACGTACTGCTAAGGATGGTGTTGACAATGCCGTTCACCTCCGCGCTGTTTTCGCTCTGCAGCAGATCCACGATCGCCGTGTCGACTAGACAATAGTCCTGATCGGGCAAGACCCGCGCTCGCGCCGACGACACCTCATCGTTTTGCTTCTTGCACAGCTCGACGGTGAAGCTAATATCCTCGGCGTCATTATTCCGATTTCTCGTCTCCTTTACCGAGACCTCGATATCGGGAGAGCTAGAAACAATCGTCAATAATTTATTCAAAGCTGAGGTTGGGAACTGAATCGTCGCTGATGAATCCAGGTGCTGTTGCTTCGGACTGTTGCTCTGTTTGTCCGTACTCTCGTTGTTGCTAATATTGTTGTTGTTCGCAGAACGTGTACCGATGTTATTTTCGACGTTATTGTTGTGACTCCTTAATCGACTTGCGATCGGAATCTCCTCGAGGTCCACTACAGACGAATCCGCGCTTTGCCTGCTTCTGAGCCAACGAGTCAGCGATGTTTCTGTACTCTGAGTCTGCGCATTTTTTTCTGCGGATTTATCGTTGCACTTAGAAACCTGTTGCTGCTGTTGCTGACTGCGAAGGCTTCTCAAAATCTTCGGAGACGTATTTCTCTTTTTCGGCTGTTCCAAATCCTTGACTACTTCAACATGGTTCTCCTCAGCCTGACTGCTTCCGGTGGAATTAAGATTCTTTTCAATACTGTTGTTATTATCCGACGACGACGTGCCCACCGGCGATGTTGATTCTTCAATCTTTACCTCTGTCTGGAGAGAAATCGAATTAGAAGTGGGTACCAGAATATGTCTCTATTTTGATAACAATGTGGGTGAATTTACAAGCAATTGAAAAAATTTAATCGTTTTTCGTTCAGATATTCATAATATTAACATTTTATGCAAATATTTTACATTGACTCATTTTTCATTTATAATAATAATAATAAAGAATAAGTATGAATAAAGAATACATATGATAATTTTAATACAAGAATATTCGACTTTATTAAAATTATATATTAACAACTTGATTAACAATTAATAAAAAAGAAAAGAAATAAAAAAGAAAGTATATTTTTGCAAAACTTTGCTTATAAATTGTTAAATTTTATTTTCCTATTTATACCTGTATATGGACTTTATTATATCGCGTTTATTATTTCGCAGTACTGAAATTTATATTCATATGTCATGAAATTTTGTGATATAAGATAGGATTGATTGTGATAAAACAGCATGATAAAAGAGCAGTAGAGCGGTAGATGAAGTATAAACAAAGTACAGAGACTTACGGACTCTGTTAACGGTGGTAGATTGTACTGATCGCGTAACACCTGTTGGGTGCGCCGACACTCTTCTTGGAAGTCGCAAACGAATTCGAGCTTGCCCAGACACTGAACACAGATCGCCTTGGGCAGAGGATCCTTCTCATCTATCTGCGATTCACAAACAAAAGTGATCTAAGTTTTGAGAAGTGTACTCGTGATATACTTGCAAGAAGATATAACATTATTAAGCGACATTAAGCCTCATTAATTCTTTTTTTCCTTTTTCCTTCTTTTTACTAAATATTAATTACGTAAATACTACCGCTCTGCTCTATAGATACAACAATTTGTGACAAATATATAAATATATCGTTACATTCTGGTACCCACTAAAGTTCTACGACAACATCCAAGCCTGGAATTACCAACAAACTTAAATATATAATTTTTACCCAGTTACAATATTCATTACTTACAATTTTAAATAAAGCTCATTACTCTTCTCTCCAAAGAATTCGCCCAAACAATTTGTACAAATGTAAAAATTAACTTGTACAATAATCTCATGGCACGTTTACAAACACTCGCACATGAAAATATAAACACAATATTTCTCTGTGTATTAATTAATAATTTCTTTTTCGAACAGTAGCGATAGAAATTCCACGGGAGATTCTATGAGAATCTCGTTGATGAAGTAACACACATAAAACGTCTATTTTTAACTGCGATATTGGAGCAAATATAAAGAAATCTTTTGTCGCTCAATGAGTGTATAACTCACTAGAGAAAGCTCCTATTGAATATCAATTTCCAACATGACAATATCCTCCAATCTCTTTTTGAAACTTATAGGGTCTATCTTTATATAAAAGCAGATTATTATAATGTACTAATTAATTATAATGTTTGTTATTTCTTAACAGAAAAAGAAAGCTGTTGATGAAGTGATGTAGTAAACAGGAGACCAGTTAACACAAAATTAACAATTCAACATGAATTACACAAACCTCATCGCTTCAAACCCTTGTTAATAAAATTAGTTCAATTAATTGTTTAAAATCACAATTATTATAAAGCAAGCATAGTAATTAATTATGTTAATACTTAGGGATCAAATTCGACCAAAAAGTATCGATGCTTTTGAATTTGGGGGAAAAAATGCTCCCTGGGGATCAACAAACGTGAAAGACAAGCCGAGCATGCTACAAGCAAACAAGATGCGCTGCGTATAAATAAGCATGCTGTTTTGCAGCAAGAAAAACCATCATATAGCAAGGAAGGAAAAAGAACATCTCCCTTTCTCTCATAGCCATTTTTTCTAACCCTATAGAGTTATGATCAAGTCGGCGAAAAGAAGCGTGAAGCGAAGCGTCCAGGCGCGACGAGTAACCGCGACTCACCAGGATGTTGATCTTCTCGTGTATCTTCGTGCCGAGGTAGCGTCTGACACCCTCCTCCCCAAACACGTCGATGTAGATCTTCTCGTACTGGCCGCATAGCCTGCACATTTTCGCCTCACCCTCTTCCACGTCCATTCTTGTTTACCTCGTCGGCAAGCGCGTCCTTATACATGCACGCTGGGTGCTCTGGTGGTGCTACCGCAAGGTGGAAATCCCGACGGGGCATCCACGCACGCCGTTGTTGTCGCCGTTTCGTATCTCGTGTCGACGCCACCGCCACGATTGACGCTTCCTCCTTCACTCTTTCTTTTTGACAAAATGTTTCGCCCGATTTTTTTTCCTCTCTCTCTCTCTCTCTCCTCTTTCCCTCGTTTTTGGAAGAACGCGACCACGTCCCCTCGCCCGTGACGCCAGGACGTGCGCGCGGAGCTGGCGGAGCAGGAAACTTGCGTGAGGAAGGGGCGAAAATGGAGACGACTACACTGGCGTTACTACTTGTCATGACAATCCAGCGCGCGACAGAAGATTTTCTCGGAGAGTAGCCGCATTCGAGCCAGACTCGGCGGCATTGGTCGAGCCGAGTGTGACGCGTCGCGGGTGACCAATCAGCTACGGCGAGGGTCGACAAGTCTGTTCCTTTTACGGCGCGACTCCTTGGGTCTGTTCGCGTTGCTTGCACTTTTTGCACTCAGCATTTTCGCTTTCTCTCTCTCCAACGGCCGAATATATATTTATCTCATTTCAAGTGCGAAAATGTTTGGTGATTTCAAGCAACGCGAACAAGCCTCTTTTTCAGCTGAACTTTTTGCACGGTTCATCTGTCCTCTTTTTCTTTTCACGTTGGAGAGAAAAAGAGACAAGATAAACTGCGCAAGAAGTTCAGATAAATAGAACAGACCGAACGGACCTATTTCCTGCATTTTTATGTTCATTTCTATCAATGTAGATTAATTTTTATCATTTTAATCGCGGTTGAACTTACTTTTCATCTTTTTCTAGTTCTTAAAATTGGAGAAAGATAAATGGTAAGTTAAACCAAGATCAAAGTTAATCTAATCATATAATTATTATATAAAGAAAACTATCCAACCGCATTTTATGCTTATTAAATTGCTTTTTCTACTAAATGCAGCCATTCAAAATTAATTGTTTCAAATTTACTTTTGTTGTAAATTAAGTTACTTCTTTATTTTAAATAAAAAGACTGTTATTAATCTTACAAAAGAAAAAAAACAAGAGAATTCAGCTCCAATGAGCAAATATTTATCAAGAAATGCAAAGAGCGTAACTCGTTCGTCAAAATATACAAACTCACTGTCAATAATCTAAAATTCTAAAAAAAAAAAAGAAGCAACCGGTTCCGCTTCCTTTTAGGTACATGTCAGATGTTGGAACGCAGCCAATGATCCAATGAGAGAATTTCTTTTTCGAAAACGAATTTTCCTCATTGGACCATCCGGCTGCCTGTTCCGACATCCGACGTCCGACGTACGACGCGACGTATTGTAGAACCGGCCTTTATTACGTCTCAATTCTCAATCGAATGACAAACATGGCATCCACCATGATCGTTAGCTACCGTCTGTTATTTATTACAGTCGCTTTCGCACTTTCGTTTGTTTCCGTCGCGAATTCCACGGACGCCGCGGACGATTTTTCTTACGCGTCTGCGAGAGTCGAGGTAACGTGTTTCTGTTTTATGTTAAATCAACATGATGTCTTATCGGATATCGCTCATTAGAACGCATGACTTTCGATTTTTCTGTATTATAATTGCGATATACAATTGCTACAAGAGTAATTAAATGATGTTTTATGTATTGAGAAATTGTAATCACATCTCGTACGGACCGGTTTCCTCGTGACACACGAGGAAACGTTATTTACGTGATTTGTTTTCCAGAGCTGTAGCGGTTGCTCGCTCAATCGGCTGCCGGATGTCAAGAAATTTATTTTCGAGGACCTACCGCAATAGTATCCTTTATAATAGCATACTTGTTTTGCATATTTATACATTTTTGAAATTTATTGTCAACTGCATTGTTAGTGACAGTTGACGTAAAATACTTATTTTATTCATTTTTCACACATTTTGTCTTATTTTTTATTTTTGTTACATACGTACACATACATGAAAAATAATTTAAAACAACATTGACAATTTGAAGGTTGATAGATAAGTAAAGTTAACTTTTTATATGTAGATATATAAAAAATTGCGTGTTATGTGTTTTCTAAAGATCTAGTGTACAGATGTGTTTTGCATATTTTAAAAATTTGCTCCTAATTTATTAAAAACAGTAATCTTGTAATATAAGATACTTAAAAGTGTATAATTTTCCCAAAAGTTTATAAGTTCCCCAAAATAACAGCAAAATAAAAGACTAAACAAATTCAATCAAGATTCCATCGAACTATATATTACTTTTTTTTTCCTTAATACACGTACAGTGGCGAGAATGTGGAATTCAAGCATATTCCAGGCGCAATACCAGAACTCGTGTTATTGAACGCACGTGGAAAGGTTTAATAATAAAAAGAAAATATTAACATAATTATAATTCGTAATATCCTACTATTAATTTCTGAAAATGTTGCAGGAGCTAGAGAGACACGGGTTGTCCAAATTGACTCGAAAAGAATGTAATGACTTGCTAGTCTCCAAAGGCTTCATGAAAGATAAAGAGGAGATGTAAATCTTCCAATTGGCGTATATTGTGAGAAGCAGCATTCTATCAAAACTAATCGTAATAATTATTTCTAGGAAAAATAAATAATTTCTGATCGTTTATTTCTATATACATCGTAGACATCAAGATACAATAGTTTTGTTTGTTGTTAATATTCCAAGAGAGTATAAGCTATATTGTGTACAGCAGCAGTATATTCCTGATCTATGTAAATTGCTTTTATCGAGTTGCAATTTTCGGTACATTATATTCGTGAGCGCTTCTCTCGAAGAGCTGCAATCTGTGATAGATGCCAAATCTAAAATAGGATGGAACATTGCACAGTGCGATATCCCACAGATCCCATTAATTACATTATATTCTTCATTTCTGCTAATTCTTTAACCCTATAAAATTTTTATAACCAAACAAATTAAGAAATAACAGATTAAGTTATTGATATAATTATTAAATCAACTAATTGAAGTTTAAATAGTATTAATAGTGTACTCTACAAAAGTTTCTTTAGAAACTCTTAATTATGCATAAAAACCTCTTTTATGAATTTTGTGAATATTAAAAAAAAAATGTTTTATGTTCGTCGATTTGTACGTTATCCGAATCATTTATGGATAGGATTTTATATAGTAGATGTGGATACGTGATTCAATCATAGAGATCTATTTATGCATCTCTAATCACTTCTCCATCTGTTGCAATTCGATATTGGTGCTCTTTCACTGCTTTAAATTAACCTAGTTGTTGCAATTGTTTTTCTGTGTCCAATGTATGTATGTACATACATGGTAAGTTGATCAGTAATATTAGTGATATTAGATTACTGATATTGGAATTAATATCAGATAATAAATATTGATTTTTTTTTTTAAATTGTTTTACTTTTTTATTAATAAGGGTTACTAATATTGAAAGCAATTGAAATTTTCACCCACAAGTCTCTTTATTTTTTATAAAACTTTTTTTTTTTAGTTTTCATTATATTTTTGTGATCTATTATACGTTCTCTAATAAAATATTTTCAAAAGAGATAAAATGTTTCTTTTGCGTTTACACAACTCGATCCATTTTTTTTGCCATTCATTATGTGCCATTTCGTTTTTCAACCGAGTAGTTTCAATTGATTTCTAATCAAAATATGACCTGTTGAACTGTCCACGTCTCGAAACATAAAACTCCATTTTGAGTATCTTACATAATGTGCTTTTGAAATGAGATTTGAGTAATGACTATATAAATAGACTTAAGAAGACCTCAGAATCACAGCAGAATAAAATTGAACATCATTGAACGAAAGAACTATGAATAAATTAATTACTACTGATAGTCTCGTAAGAATCCATTTTTTACGTCCCGTTATATTTCAATGTATATACTATGTTATTAATATTCCATAATATATTAGATTGTTTAAATGCGTACGCAATTTTTATTTAAACTCAAAATTATACACACAGGTATGTATATATATATTGTTTATTGATTTATTATATACACACTGTTCAAATTTGCAGTTTCTCACAAACCCGCGATTTATCTTAACGATCTACATTAATATCTTCCCATCGCTGCGTATTCACTTAAGTCATACATTTTTATACTTTAAATATTATAGCAGATGCACGCACTCCCTCTATGGGTAATAATAATAATAATAATAATAATAATAATAATAATAATATATATAATATGTACATAAAAAAGTGACATCAAAATATCAGAATTATCCAAATGGGAGAGGAATCATCCCATTCGAAGTATACAAATGCCAACGAAACCGTGTAAAACATTTTACATGGACAAAACACTCGATGTACCTTTCTTCCTCTTTTCTAAAATAGGAAGAAACGAGTTTTTTTTTTATGTCCATTTCCAATACAGATTAACTTTTACTTTTTATCCTTTTCTAATTGTAAGAAGTAGAAAAAAAAATAAAAAGTAAGTTAAACTGATTAAAGTCAATCTACATTGGTAGAAATGGACATTACTCGTACAGTTTGGGACACGCGTAAACGAACTTCATATATTTCTGTTGTTTTTTTTTTTTTTTTAAAGCTCCTGCTGGCTCGATTGCCAAGTCCGCATAGTGCGCACAATGTCAATTGTGAACTGTCAGGCATAAAAAAATGATGTTAAAAAGCTAAATTATTCTTGCAACGTACATACAGCGACATTTTTCGTGTTAGTGCAGTGATCTTGTATTAAAAATAATTGTCGTGGTGTTAAAATATATCGAAAATTCCTATTTTATAAAACTTAATATGTAAAAGCAAATATTTATTTCAGCAGCTGTCAAACAGCCTGTTTTATTTATTTGACAACTGCTGAATTGAAGTAAATATTTACTGTCACATATTAAATTATAACAAAATGTGAATTTCGATATATTTTAACATTACGGCAATTATTTTAAACACAAAATCATTGCATTAACATGAAAAATGACGCCCTCCCACCAGTGCTGCCTCAACGGATAGATAACCGGTTTAAAAGATTAACGACACCTTTGCCTCGTGCAGCGGATAAGCGGATTTTGCATAGACTTGTGAGACTATTATAGCACGTAGGTAATATTATATACTTTTTATAGGCTTATAAGTCAAAATCGAAATTTTTCAGTTGACAGTATTCTTCTCGGGGTGCAATACTTATTACATCATTTATCCAAATACTTATTACATCATTTTTCCAAACAAAAAGGGAGTTTTTGATATATCTTACAAGTCTATTTTACATCGATTACAAATGCTTTAATTAAATTCAATAGAAAAATATTTTTATTTTAATAATGTCTTACGTTGCAAAAATTTTCATATATTTTTTTACTTTTAACGTCATCAATCAAAGATGGAGGCAGTGAATGAACAGGAGCTTTAAAGGACTTTGCAAGAGCCACGTGGAAACCAATACCAATGTTGCGATTATCACGAACCAACAGGATATCATAAGACAAATTATTACAAATTATGGAGCAGACTGGTATGTGATTTAGAAACAATGTTATGCCATCAGCAGCCAGCAGATGAATATTATCGCTAACCACAAAAATATCTTGGATAAAAACTGATCTTCCTCATATTGCGGTGTGCCTCTGGGAGCTGGAAATAAATTAATTTTTTTATACATTACCTCTCAATTATTGTCTCATATATATGAGAAACAGGAACACGAAGATAAGTTCATCTCGCAATTGTACCATTCCCCTTAAACTTATGACAAGTGTTACCTGCGCTTGGTCGTGTTTCTCCGAAATTAAAAGTCGACGTAAAGAAAGCGAACGGAAAAGTGCCAATGCCGAACGACATGTAGGAACCATCGCCGAAACCAAAGCCGGGAAAACCGACATTGGTTTCTGGCTCTGACCTTTGACCGGCCGGGCGCGGTGGCACGTTGTTCCTGAAACAAAAATCGTTTTCACCAATTAAACTTATATTATTTTGTAGGCCAAGCCCTTCAAAATAGTTTCTTACAGCATACAGGTGACTTCAAACAAAACAAAACTCATTTGCGATAACACACGCAACGTTATCTTAACATAAAATCTTAGTCTTAACGTAAGCGTCTCCCGTCAACTTAAACGTGATCGAACGCAAGCCCCATCCTTGGGGCGACTCTCATGCAGTGAACTATAGAGCCGTTTATTTGTGACCAAAGCATATTTCAGGGAAACAAAAATAATAGAATACCATTGACCGATTAAAATTCGTTAAACAGACAGAAACCAATTAATCCGTCTTTTTCTTCTTGGTGCCCGGGCGCCAGCACGAACTTTCACGTTTCAGTACAGTATTACAGTATATAGTTCACTGCTCGCACGCCACCAATGCATCAATATACTAGATACAGGTATAATAAGCAATGGTAATAAAACAATTATCTCCTATAATTTAACATAATATTACACATGTAAATTTTTTTAATACTAGGTTACTAAAGATCTATCTCCGACCGTAATGGCGTTTTTGTTCGAGTTTGATTGTAAATTTGTTTACATAATCCTTGAATAAAAAGACGCAATAATTAATTTTTTTAATTGTGACAGAAAAAAAACAAGTTATACCTTGGATCTTCTTGCTTTGTAGCTCCACGTCCATATAATGGAATGACTTTTTCTTTGCTTATAGCAGCCTTGCATACAGGACAAACCTGCCTAGTAGGTCTAGTCTCCAGCCACTGGTGCAGACACGGCCAACTGGATTATTATCAATCATATCATTCAAATTATAGGTAATATTTCACTCTTTGACACGTTACGTTATCAAATATTTACCAGAACAGATGGCCGCACATACTGACTACTGCATCTTTCGCGGTATCCAAACAGATATTGCACTCGAACATCCTCTCATCCTTCTCTTTTTCCTCCGTAGAGCCTGCGGATCCCGATGACTTGGATGAACCCGCTTGTTCCTTTGTCCTGCTCATCCTTCAAGTATGCATATAATAAGATTTAATCAAATATCCTTGCGTTTTAGGATAATGCGTTTAACGCATTAATACTGTACATTTTGAAACAATTTCCATAGTTAATTAGAGCTTTTTAGTCATAATTAGAAATCTCAATAACTCGCATATCTAATTATGACTAGAGAATTATGAGTCTCCAGGACTCTCTAGTCCTAGAGACTAAGAATTTCTAACTCGCAGAAATTAATAGCTCTCGTGCAATGGAAAAATCATATATCCCAGACAGCACGTATGTCTGAAAGACGTCGTAAAGACATATTTTAGACACGCGTGTCTAAAAGACATCTTTACGACATCTTTTAGACATGCATGTGTAAGATTATTTGTGCCGTGCTTGAGTAGACCGTAAGGTGTGATTG